ATGTTGCGAATATCGGAAAGCCACGCGTCGAAGTTTTCAGGAGGTTTTTCGTCGTCTACTCTGCAAGTGATCGATCACTCAGCTGTCTTTCTCGAGAATGTCACAGCTGCTCGAGAAATTGGCGGCTTCAGAGCCGGGCAAGGGCTTGTTGTGTCCAACGGCTCGGAAATTAGTATTCGCAGGGCGGTAGTCGACAAGAGCAGAGGCGGCTTCGCGACATATGGTCCGATTGTGGTCGCGAAGAACTCTCAGATTTCGGTTAGCGATTCCTTTGCCAGAAACGGATGCTGTGGAGGCTTCAGCGTTAGACAGGAACTTGCCGGTGCATTGGCTGCTGTGCAGGTGACTGGCGGCTCGACCATCAGCATTTCCAACACTGCGGCGCGGCTGGAGGGTGGAGGTTTCGCGGCATGGCGCGGCGATGTTGTGGTCAGTGACGGCTCAAAGCTCAGAATTCGCAACACTGCCTCTTCTTCCTCGCATTCGGGTGGCTTCTCTGCGCCTGAGGGAGTCTTGCTCTCCAACAACTCGTTCATCACGATTCGAAATAGCACCTCTAGAAAGCACAGCGGAGGCTTCTGGACCAAGCGTTTGGAAGTAACCTCCCGATCGGCGGTGCACATCGACAGGACCCAGACGGGTTGGAGCGGGGGAGGTTTCAGCGCTGACGATCTCGCACTGGTCGCCGGGCACTCCAAGATTACAGTATCCGACAGCCAGGCCATCGAGGGCAGTGGCGGAGGCTTCCAGACAGCAAAACTCTACCTAGAGGGCAACTCATCCATCGACCTGCGGACCACCTCGGCGGGAATTATGGGAGGAGGTGTGTATGCGGCAAACTTTAGTGCCGGCTCGCACGCTCTGGTGGTTGCCAATGGCTCGACTCTGGGTGTTCGGAATGCCACCTCGCGCCTATATGGAGGAGGGCTTTGCATTATTGGACGTGCAGTGATTACTGGTTGGTCCAAGGTTCACACTTCCGACTGCCACACAACGCTCGTTGCTGGTGGCGGAGTCGTCACGACTGACAGATTGCTGCTCAACGAGAGCTCCGATGTCCATATTCAGAATGCCACGGCAGGTCGCAGCGGAGGCGGCCTTCACGCAGAAGGGACCATTACCATTGCAGGTTCTTCCACACTGGCTATCTCCAACACTTCCTGTGAGGAGGATGGAGGCGGTTTCCATATTAGCTCCACAGGAAGTCTTCTGCTTGCACTCACAGCAAGGTCTTTTTAAGCTTAGTCGGAATGCAGGCCCCTAGGTGAAGCATCAAAACCACGCTGTCAGGCGATTCCCCGCCTGGTTTGGCCTTGCATGACGGGATGTTGGTCGTCAACGACTCCAGGTCAAAGGGAAAGGGTGCTGCAGGGTTTGTGCAGGACCGTGTTTTCCTGGGCGCTGCGTCCGGCCTCTATGTGCATAAGGCAGTCGGCAGTGATCTTTCCAGTGTGGTGGCTGCAAGGTCTCTACAACTCAGCCCGGGTGCGACGGTGCTTTTGGAAGATGTCGTCGGAGGCCTCGGCCTTGACTTGCGAAACAGCGATTGCCCAAGCGCCCTCGCAAACCGCACTGTCGAGATAGCAGCCGGAGCATCCTTGAAAGCTAGCGGGCGTTTGGGCTCGGGCTTCCTTTCCTTGGAGACATGCCCGTTTGAAGTCGTTCATCTTTCTGACATACACCTTCAGTCGTGGTCCAGCCCCCTATTGAGCACACGGGCGCACAAGGTTGTGGTCAGAGATGTCAGCATTGACTACGAGCCGCCGTTGCACGATGTCCTTGTCTTGGCCACAATAGACAGCTTCAAAGCCGATTCATTGGATGTTTCATGCAAGGACTGCACCCACGGAGTTGCCTTCAATGCAGCCGGGAGCGAGCTGCGTGCCCTGAGCACTCCATTGCTTATTTGCCCGTTGGCAGCATCGGTGTCCGGAGGCATGCTTCAACGGTGCACCTGTGCCAACTACCAGACCACCAGGCAGGCTTACGCTGACCGTCAAGCTGTAATGCTGCAAGACATGATGAATACCTGCACATTCTGCGAACCCCACACTCAGTTCATCAATGGAACATGCCAGAAGTGCCCACCATACAATGCTTGGTCGGATGGCAAGTCTGACGTGTGTCATGTGCTGCCACAGGATTCCGCACAAGTCGGTGCTCTGTTTGCAGCTTCTGCCAGCAGTGTCTTCCTTGCCTTCGTGTTTTACCAGATCCTGCACGCTCCTTTGGTTATCGTAGATGCAAAATCACAGCGGATCCCTCATAGGCTACGGAAAGCTGCAGGCAAGGCATTCCCAGAGGGGATGGATCAGAGGTCGTTTTCCATGTCCTTGCAAGGCCCCATTGTCGATCTCCCACAATTCCTCTCACGGCAGCTCTATCGGCAGCTTTGCTATCGCGTTAAAGGCACGGGCCTCCAATGGTTGGACTTCAGCCCCGAGAATGCCCAGGCAGTGAGGATCCAGAGTATCGACCGCAGCAAACTTGAAGTACAGGATGCGCATGTCCCATATGATTGTGCAGCCGCAGTTGGTGCGTTGCATGCTACGAACCTCATGCACCTGATGCTGCCACTTTGCGCAGCTTTGTTCCTGGTGGTGTTGCTGCCGGTCGCTCTTCAAGTTTCAATCATGTCGGGCAATGGCATTGCACATGTACTTGTCACTTCTGCATACTGTGCACTCCCAGTGGGTTTGGCAGCTCTGATTCTTCATCCGGTTGTTGCATGGCTCATTGAGCGACACTGCCGCAGAACGCCATTTTCTAAACTCTTGGATGACTACCGGTGGCGCATCCAGTGCGACCCCCACCCTGGCCCGGACGCGGTGCATCCAAGCAACCAAGGTTTCTGGGCTCAGAGCGGTGGTAAGCTCGACCCCCAGAATAGCAGCCCTCGATGTTTGCTAATCAGTTCCTATTTCCTGAAACTCAGGTTTCATGGTCCTGACCCTGTGGGAGCTTTGGGGACATTTCGAGAGCTTCATCCTGGATCGCAACATGCATTTTGTGGTCAACAACATAGTCAGGCCTTTGACTTGTGAGAGGCGAGTGTCCTTCGTGAGCCTGTGGGGCGGAAGACAGGCAGGTGCTTCTAAAAACTTGGGCCCAATACATCTTGAGCCCCAGAACTTAACATGTGGGTGAGGAGCAGAAACATATACGGGACGAACAAGAACAATGCAAAGAACATCACGGAAACCAGTAGTGTAAAACATAATGTTAAGCAACATGAGTTCGCTTACTTGGTGTAAGTCGTGATAGAGCATAATAATGAACAATGGGTCCAGAACCTGAGCTTCAAGCATTTGCTCGAGCCTTTAAAGAGCTCCGTCCGAAGGTCTCAATTCTTTCAGCCCTCCCAAGGTGGACTACTTCGTGTCCCACTCCTGGGCCACAAGCTTTGCACACTTTGCACGCTCGATTCACTCTCATGCTCGGTCCAGGGAAGGTCAGCGTTGGCTTCTTGGCGGTATCTGGAGAGTCTAATCCAGCTCGGCCTTCCATTGCACACCTCCAGTTCGAAGTGAGAGTCACATGCGGTTCTACCGTAGGGCTTCTACGCTTAATTCTACCGTAGGACTTCTATGCTCAAACCTCCGAGCCACGAGTCTTTCCATGCCAGGCCGCTGAATCCTACCTCCTTTTCCTTGGAGTTGCTTTCTCTTCCGTAGTTAGAATTCGGTATTACCCGTGGGAACGAGAGATTTGCTCCAAGTGTGCAACTTAGACAACAGAACAATTGAAGCTTGCTCTGCTCGTTAATTGAAGCCCTCGCCTTAGGCCGCGCGCCTGAACTCCTCAAGCAAGCGAGGTGGCCAGAAAACATCTTCTGATGCCCAGACAGAGCGAAGGAAGCCCCACAAACCCAAATTTGCAGAACAGCGCCGGACCCAGCAAAGGATGGATGTGAGCTACTGGATTTGCTCTTTTGCCAACAACCAATGGAACCTCGAAGTGGAGTTCCTCGTGCGCAAGAAGGGTCGTGGCCTAGAGTTTCGGTATGTGCATATGCAATCGTAGGAAATATTTGTATCTCCCTCCGCCCACGCCGATACACATACACACACGCGTGTGTGTGTGTGTGTGTGTACACCTGAACATGGTGAACCATGTTTTTCAGTTTACAGGGGGGTACGGCTCTCTGATGCTACCGTACCCAACGAAGCTATGCATCAGAGAGGGAAGCAAGGGCTCATCACCCTTGTGTACCTGCAAAACGGCCGCCCGAATTGCACCCTCAAGATTGTTGCTTCTCATAGTGGCCGAATCATTCAAGTGATACTGCCTGGTTGCCGTAATCTGACTAAATAGTTCTATCCTCGCAGCATCAGTTCTTGCCAAGCCTAAG